CCTCAGCCCCCTGGGGACGCAAGCCGGGACCCCTGGCACGGTTTTCTTGCCTAAGTTATTAAGTCACAAAGGCCTCCCCCACCCCCCACCTCCTGCCTCAGCTGGGGTGGCGGCCAGGAGCAGCGGCGTGGGTTTAGGGGAGGGGGCCGTCATGTAAGACGTCACCCCACGAAAGGAGGGGGCGGTCCTGGTGTGTCCCCCCCGCTTCCTCTGCCTGGAGGGCACGTTTGGGTGTTGGCTGTCGGGGTGGGAGGGGGCAAGGACACTTGCCTGTGTCCTGGGAATTGGTCTCTGCGTGGTGTGGCTTCAGCAAGCCACCAGAGGGCGCTCGGGGCCAAGCCTGCGGTCTCCCGCGCCCCCCCTGCAGGCGGAGAGAGGAAGTGCAGGCGTGCCGGCTGGGCCCGCGGCCTCGGCACAGTTGTGCGTGAGTGCGTGCGCGTGCGCGTCCAACGTGGAGTCCCGGGTCTGCGCGCGCACTGGTGAGAAAGAGAAGGCGAGCCTCTGAGTGCTCAACTCACACCAGGAGCCAGGTCCCCCTCCTTTCCCCGACCCCCCGCTGCCAGTCTTCCCTCTGTTCTTCCGGCCTCCGGCCTCCCCCTGCCAGATTTTGAAATCTCTCGGAGACAAAACTAGTACTGTAAGATAAAGTTTTTTGTACTGTATTTATTGTGTATAACGATTTTTTAAAAAGGAGAATTCTGTACATTTAGAACTCTTGTAAATTAAAAACCAATCCTTTTTTTAAAACTGTACGCACGGCCCCTCTGCTCCATTGCTTTGGGGTCTGGGGGCTGCTCCAGGCCTGGGGGCCAGGGCTGATGTTGTGTGGGGAGGGTGCCACGCGGGCTCGTTCCACATACTGAGCACCTGAAGTGGTTTCCAGGGGCCACCATAGCAACATGCCACCACGGGGCGTGGGTGGTGGGGGGGTGGCTTCAAACAACCAAAATGCCTTGTCTCCGCTCTGTAGGGACGTGGGAGGCCAAGACCAGGGTCTGGGTAGTGCCCATTCCTCCCCGGGCTCTGAGGCAGAACCTTCCCGGCCTCTTCCTGGCCTCCAGTAGCCTCCAGTGGATCTTTCTGTCCCTTGGCTGATAGGAGCCCTGTCGTACATGTCCTTCCTCTCCCTCCCTGCCTCCTTTTTTATTAGGATACCGTTTCTACAAGATTCGCAGTCACCGTTTCCCACTAACACCTTGACAGGTTCTCAGGTCAGGGGGTTAAGACTTCGTCGTTGCTCTTTCAGGGGTGGGGGTGTCAGCGGAAACCAGCCTTCAACAAACAAGGGGTCTGTAGGCGCAATTGTATGGCAATAAGAAAGACAATAGTAAAATCAGAGGATAGGAAAGACAGGAGAGAGTAAAAGAAAGGAGTCAGACATGTTCTATGGAAGCATGCTCATCTTGGCTCCTCTTGATGGACCACGTGGAACTGGGAGAAATGAGAGCGAACCTTTCCTATCCTGGGACATTGATAGGTCGCCTTAAGACATGCATGTTCAGTAGTTATATGCACTACAAGATGGGTAGTAGCTACATTAAGGTCCCTGAGCTCACAGGTGCGGAAACCCAAGACCTGCATGGGGGGAAGGTATTGGTGGGGTGACACACGGCGGGAAGAGAGAAAAAGGATAATGCCTTATTTCTATCGGGAGATGTAGTCGTGTGCTCATAGCTGTAAGGGGAGATTCTGTGGGAATGATGTACTTGGACTTTGCCTCTAATTGACCAAAGTGGAGGCTTTCCTACCGTGGAATACCAGCTTTCCGGATTCCCTCTGTCATAAATGACGGAAAATGGTCCTCGCCCTGTTTCCGTCAGTGTTCGTTCCCCCCGGGCGTGTCACCGTTCAGTCTGTGCTGTGGTCGCTGTGGAAACACACACACCAGTGAAGAAGGCGGTCAGGGGTCCCTGACCGCACATGGAGGTGGGAGTGCGGACAGTGGACCAGGAAACGTGGGTGAGGTGAAGTGGTGACATGTCTCATGAGGATGAGCCAAGCGTGGGGGAGAAAGATGGGCAAGGCAGCTCCTGGGACACACCCCTTTCTCCGGAGGGTGGAGTTTGGAGGGCAGGGCGTGAACGGGGTCCTAGCCCCTCCCTGCCCTGTGCAGTGAACTACCTGCCCTACTGCACATCACCTGGCTGGATGGAGAAGAGGTCTCTGTAGAAGGAACGCTTAAGCACATGCACAGAGTGGAGGAGGTTGTCGTGCGTCGTCGCTGGATTCCTGCTCAACCACCACCCCATGTGACTGCAGAGCTGCCCCGCGGAGTTTCCTAGGCTGTAACCTGTCCAGGAAGGAACGAGTTGCCAGGGTTTTTAACCCCATGGAGTTGTGGAAGTACCCTCGAAGCGCCCACCTTTTGCGTGGCTGCAGAGTGCTTAACCGTTGCGCCTCCGGGGGCCCCCTGGAAATGAGGGAGCTGGGAAGTTACCTGGAGAAAGACCCTCCCCCGCAAAGGGCTTGTGCAAAGGTCCCGAGGCAGGAGAGGAAGCCTGGAGTTGTGAAGAACTCTGCGATTGGAGCTGAGGTCACCCAGGGGCCTGTGGGGCCATTTGAGTGCCGGTGGGGACTTGGTTTGGCCTCCGAGGACGTCGGGGAGCCACCGAAGGCCCTGAGCAGAGGATGCGAGCTAACTGGGGTGCTAAGCAGCGCATGCTCGTGGCCAAGGGCGAGCACACCGTGAGAACTGGGAGCGCAGACCAGACGTGAGCGGCCTTGGGGGGGGCACGGGTGCCCTCTGGCGACCCCGCGGGGGATAGACTGGAGGAAGCGGAGGCAGAAGCGCAAGAAACCCAGGAAGGATCGATTGTGATGAAAGTCTAAGGGGGGTGCCTCCGGGAGGGGGGCTGAGCCCATCCCTTGCACCTTCTTTCTCTGCTTCCTCGGGTCTCTGGAGGTGTTTGTGCATCAGAAGCTGCCCTGGGGGGTCGCAGAGGATGGGCCCCTCGCCCTTCTTCACTCTCGATCCTCGCCTGTGTGGGAAGAGAGGGTGCTGAAGGAAGATCACAGTGCCTTCCTTTCCTGAGATGAAGACTTGGAAGCCCCCCCCAGCGTAGCCCCAGGGTTTGCCTGGGACTCCCAGGGACTTGACCCTCGTTCTGGAAGGGCTGGCTGCAGCCCAAGAGACGCCCGACGTTTTATTGAGCCACTTGACCAGGTGCCCTGCCCCCAACCCTTCCCTGGATCCCTGCATTTGATGTCCACAGCAGGCCCTTTGTGGGGTTTTTCTGCCTGTTTTTCAGAAAGAAGAGGTATGATCAGTGGCAGTGCGTTCTTAGGTTTTGGTTTTGGAGGGTGAGTGGATACCAATGCCTCGTGGCACGGACTAGAAAGCAGGGAGAAGGGGTGGGTGGGGCCTGTTCACTGGACAGAAAATCAGGAAGGGCTGCACAGGTGTCCTTTGGGAGCAAGATCTTTAGGGACAGACAGACACTTTCATGCCGAATGAAACAAGCTGGGGAGAGTTAAGAGCCCCGGAGCACAGCTCACTGACTGACATTTGAGCATGATGATGATGATGATGATGATGATGATGATGATGATCATATTAAAAACGGAGACAGTCATCCTTTGCCACGAGACCAGAACTGGATGGTACCCAGAACCAGAACTGAGTGCAGGAGTCAAAGATCCTGTAGGAGCCACCTGATCCAAAGATGGAAGAAGATGCAGAACAGGATTTCGAATTTGCATGGCATCTAAAACTCTTGCCCTAAGGTAAACCTTAAACGTTACATTTGAAATACCCCCAAAGTCTTCTTTTATATCCAACAACAGTTTAGCTAAAGGGGTCAAGACTGTACCTGGAGCATCCTGCTCTCTTAAACAACAATTTCTATGGGATCAAGTTGGCAAGAGCTACTTGAAAGGTTAGATAGGAACCTTCGTTGATGTGATTGGGGGAGGGACAGCTCCAAAAAGGAGGGTGAGAATGGCCGCACGTTTATTATCAATCTCTCTGAACTGTACATGTGGAAACTGTTGAAATGGTATATGCGCTATGTGTATTTTCAACAACAAGAAAATAAATCATTCTTTTTTCCACTTCACCAGCATCTATCGGTTGGGCAAGTACATTGTTGTGCTGCAAAGAGAGGCACATAAACAGTAGATAGAGTATGTTCATGTCTCTATTTCAAGCACAATTGCGTACCTGTATATATAGACTCTCTCTATAGTACAGGGTGAGGAGTGCTGGCACCACAGGTCAGCAGTTCAAAACCACCAGCTGCTCCGAGGGAGACAGAAGAGGCTTTCTACTCCCATCAACAGCGAACATTCTTGGAAACCCACGAGGGCAGTACGACCCTGTCCGAGGGAGCTGCCACGTGTTGGACTAGAATCAGTGGCAGCGAGTTTGGTTTGGGTTTGATATCGTTTTGGGTTTTATATCGCAGAGCCAAGACTTCTCTAGAATCAGGCACCTGGAAGGAATGAACCACTGGGCTTAGGGGCGGAGGACCACAATCTCAGGGGACGTGTAGGTCAATGAACATTGCCCACAAAGACAGGGTTTGGCCTCCTACCGTGGTGAGTAGCGCTGGGGCTTTCAAAGCCAGTGAGTAACTATCTAACCCTCAACGCTTGCCTCTCTCCACCCAGAGTAAAGAAGAGAGAGAAACTGTAAAGGCTCACGTTTCCTGAACCAAACTGTAAACATAAACCTGAGTTTCTGTCACACATACACACACACACACACATACACACAAAGACAGGAGGAGAAGGAGGAGGAGGAGGAGAAAGAACACACACACACACACACACACACACACACAAACAGGAGGAGGAGGAGAAAGAACACACACACACACACACACACACACACACAAAGACAGGAGGAGGAGGAGAAAGAAAAGAAATGGAAACTCAAGGAAACAGTACAAACCACTAATGGACCACACCAACCATGCCCTCCGCTCTCCTGAGACCAGAACTACATGGTGCCCACAACCACTACTGACAGCTCTAACGGAAGACCACAGAAGGTGACAAAACAGGACAAAATTCAAACTCATAACAAAACACAACCGGACTTACGTTTCTATCTTGGGAGCGCTTGATGAAGCCCCAGAGACGGGGCCCTTGGACAACCTTCAAGCCAGGAACTGCACCCACACACACCCTTAACCCCCCCACCCCCAAAGAGCCACGTTCAGTCAACAAGCCCATAAAGTAAACAATAGCAGTGGTGAGGAAGAGCCGCCTCAGAACAATGAACCCTGCATGATCGGAAGGGCAACCTTTGCCCCAAAACAAAACTCAGAAGGCAAGTATGGGCAAAGGGCACAGGGAACACCCCCCCATGCCACCCCCAGAATGAAATGGGTAGAGGGCAGTTGCACTGTGGGAGGTGCAATTGTTAGGACACAAGAGGTGTATAAATGGTTGCTTTGAACGCCAGTTTCCTCTGGACACTCTCACTCAAACCACAATAAACATACATTATTATAATTATCTATGTATTTAAAGATCATTTTATGGGGGACTCTTACAGCTCTTATAATCATCCATACATCCATTGTCCAGAGTCTATTTGTACATATATTGCCATCGTTATTTTCTAAACACTTACTTTCTAGGGGAGCCCTTGGGATCAGCGCCTCTTTTTTCCCTCACCCCCTGACCCCTTGATAAATTATAAATTGTTATTATTTCCCTATCTTACACGGACTGCTGTCTCCCTTCACCCCCGTTTCTGTTGTTCATCCCCCTGAGGGAGGGGGGCTATGTGTCAATCATTGTGATCTGTTCCCCATCCTCTCCCCACCTTCCCTCTACCCTCCTGGTATGCTACCCCCATGTCTGTTCCTGGATTCCGTGTGTTGTGAGCCGTTGTCTGTACCTGTGCACATGCTCTGATCTAGCCCAATGAAAAATCATTTTATAGGGGGCTCGTACAACTCTTATCACAATCCATCTATCGTGTCAAGCACATTTGTACATTTGTTGCCATCATCATTCTCAAAACATTTGCTTTGGTATCAGCTCCTCATTGAAAAAATAATAATTTAAAAACTATCATGGGTTCGAGGGGGGGAGGGAGGAAAACACGAGGAGCTGATACCGAGGGCTCAAGTAGAAAGCAGAGGCGTTGAAAATGATGCTGGCAACATAGGTACCAAGCTGCTTGACCCATGGATGGATGGATGGATTGTGATGAGAGCTGTATGAGCCCGCAATGCAATGATTAAAATAATAATAATTTTAAAAATGATAATAATAAAGGAGAAGGGGGAAACCTGAGGTTGGTGGGGAGAGTTCGGGGCGTGGCGCAAAGCCCCCCAGCCTGGAGAACCAGAGGTGCGGACCTAAGGAATCCGAGCCTTCCCCAGGGTGCGCCACCCGCGCTGTCCACCAGGAGGCCCCGGAGGCCGCGCGCCCGGCTGCTGGGGGCGGGGGGCGGGAGGGGGGGTCCTTGTCCCGCCCCTAGAGCCCCTCCCTCCGACCCTCCCTCCCTCCCTCCGCTGGGCTGCCGGCCCCACCCGGCTCAGAAGGCTCCGGACGGGACCGTGAATACAGGCCGCGCCGCGCGGGCACTTGGCACGTCTGCGATTGCCGCGGGACCCCCGGTCCGCCGCCTGCACGCCCCGCCCAGCCTACGCCTGCGCACCCCTTGGTGAGTGTGCACGCTGCACGCGCGCACTGCCTGCGGGAGCCCCCGAGGCTGCCCGGGCTCCAGATCACCCCAAGCCCCTGGGGAGCCTCAGTCTGTAACGGTCTCTCCTAGCTTCTCCTGTCCCTCACCGAACCCTCCCAGGCTCCCCAACTCTCCCTAGCCCCTCCCAGCCCCAGGCACCCCAGTATCCTTTCCCTTCACTTTCTCCTCTCCCCTCCTGGTGGCCTCCCAGTCTTCTCCAATGTCTCCCAGTCTCCCCAGCTTCCCCAGTCTCTCTCAATCCCACCCACTTCTGACTCCACCACTCCTTCCTAGCACACACACACCCCACCTCCATCCTCAGCCAGGGACACCCCCCCTTCTCCTTAGACCTTGACCCTGCTTCATTCGGACCCTCCTAGGACCCAAGAGCTTCCTACCTCACCTGTGCCCTTCCAGCATCCTCTCGTAGATGTCCCCCAGAGACTCCCTACCTGGGGGCCACCCATGGTTCCCTCCACATGCCCACAATCTCAGGAGGCCACTCTTGCTTCTGCACACCACTCTTCCCCACGCTATGCGCCCCTCCCCCTTCATCATGATGATTTCATAGATTGTAGCATCTTCCATTTGCCAGTTGTTGATGCTCCAGTGAGCCCATCTGGGAGTGAGCCCGGTGGGAGCTCCTTCAAGTTGGCTCTGTGGCCTGGTGTCTTCCACCCAGCAATCTCTGAGCGCTTCCTCAGGATCAAATCCAAGCTCACCCATTCTTTCGGGACCCTAGCCCTGGAATCGGTCGATTCTCCAAGGATCCCTGGTTTCTTGTAGTGGGGAATGGTATGTAGAGACTGCAATCTGACCAAAAGCTGATTCTTTGTAAAAGATCAATACAACTGATTAGCATCCAGGTAGACTGACCAAGGAGAGCGGGTGGGAGGAGGGAGAGAGAGAAGAAGACAACTTGAAACTATCAGAAATGCAGAAAGGAGCATCACTACAGATCCTATAGATAATCAAAGGGCTTAAGGGCATGTCGAGAACACAGTTGCCTTGGTGCCAGGGGTGCCCACTGCTGCTAGGTTGCTAATTGTTACTCTCCCTAACCTTCACTTGATTATAGGACCTCCAGGTCTGGGGCCAGATTGCCCGGATTTGAATCCTACCTTGAGCACATTCTCGCTCCCTGAGCTTGCTCGAAGAGTTAATGTCTTCCTGAACCATTCTGATTTCCTTGACAGAAAAGAGAGAGAGAGAGAGAGAATAATATTAGACCTAACTTCTAGGGCCCTTATAAAGAGAAAGCGGGTTATTTCGTGCAAAGTGCTTGGATCTGTGTCTGGCATGCAGTAATCACAAATGGGGTGTTATTATTCTTGTTAACGCCCAAGCCTTCCCATGACCCGGGTGCATCCAGGCAACTGCCTCAGGCGCAACTCTCATTCTTCTTCTTTGGCCAGCATGCCAGGGCCTCTCACCCCGCCAGCACCCGGAGAGTCACCCCTCCTCCTGCCCCAGTGTTTCTGTTCCTGCCCACCCTTCACTGAGCAGCTCATTAGTCAGCCCAGCCTCAAGCTTTGGCTGACCCTGTGGCTAGTTTGTCATGCCCTGTGTGGGTTGCCCACCTAGTCACTGCTGGTCCCCTCCTAACTGGGGGCTCTGGGCGGGTGCGGGGCCGGTCTCGGGTTCGTTCCTGACTTTTGTCACACTTGACACAGAGTGACCTGGATACCCATTTGTCAGAGGATGGAACGGGGAGCGGGGTGGAGAAGGGCCGGAAGGAAGGCATTTCTTCCAGGCTGGTTCTGCCAGCTTTCCCTCGGGCTCCATGACGCCCCCTTTTCTTCCTCTGGTCACCTCTTCCGCTTCTGCAAGCTGGTTCACTCGAACCTCCTCTTTCAGCTTGTCACCATTTCCCCCGTCCATTCTACCACCAGCAAGCGCCCCCCCCCACTTCTTTGCCGCCCATCCTACCGGTCACCGCTTCCTCCTTCCACCTCACCTTTAATGCTCAGGGCGAAGCTTCCGCTCCATTCATTCCACCCTCCAGCATCCTTTCCAACCCTTCCTCCTCCAGCCGTGTTTTGCACCCATGCCTCCATCTTCCTCCATCCGCTCTCCCTTCAGTGACCACCCTCCTCCTCTGTCCCCTCCCCCCATCAATGTTCCCTTCTTCCTCCCCCATCCCACGCCTCCGTCAAACCCGTCACCTCTGCCCATTTACCCAGCATGCTCTACCTCCTCTTCATCCATCCGTCCCACCACTGACCTGGGTCACCCCCCCATCCTCCATTCACCCATGGTGGTCTCCCTTCTTGCTCCTCTTCCCGGCAGTCCACAGTGATGTCTGCCCTGCCACTGCTCCTCCGTCCACCCCACCGCCCTCGTCCCTCTCCCTCTTTCCCATCCACCCCCCTCTCCCATCAAAGCCCTCAGCCTTTCCCAAACATTCTACCTCATTCTCTTCTTCTTCCTCCTCCTCCAGGCAGCCCACCATTGCTGCTCTCTCCTCCTCCTCCATGCATTTCACCATCCACACTCCCATCCTTCTCTGGCCACCTCTCTCTCTCTCTCTCTCTCCCCCTCTCCTTTCCTCCTCTTCCTCCTCCTCCATCAGGCAGCCCACCGCCAATGCCAATGCCCTCCCCTCCTCCCACAGGCAGCAGCTCTCCACTCACCTGTCCCCCCCAGTCGGCGAGCCTAGCGGGCAGCGAGCGGCCACCATGTTCAGCTGGCTGAAGCGGGGCGGGGCCAGGGGCCAGCAGCCCGAGGCCATCCGCACGGTGACCTCGTCCCTCAAGGAGCTGTACCGCACCAAGCTGCTGCCCCTGGAGGAACACTACCGCTTCGGCTCCTTCCACTCGCCGGCGCTGGAGGACGCGGACTTCGACGGCAAGCCCATGGTGCTGGTGGCCGGCCAGTACAGCACGGGCAAGACCAGCTTCATCCAGTACCTCCTGGAGCAGGAGGTGCCCGGCTCCCGCGTTGGCCCCGAGCCCACCACCGACTGCTTCGTGGCCGTCATGCACGGCGAAGCCGAGGGCACCGTGCCGGGCAACGCCCTCGTGGTGGACCCAGAGAAGCCCTTCCGCAAACTCAACCCCTTCGGGAACACTTTCCTCAACAGGTGCACACACGGCCGTCCCAGCCAAGCTCGGCGGCTTGCTCTGCTTGTCCACCATAGCCCCCTCTTCTGACGGGACTTCCCTCCCTCCTGCTTCCCTGCTTGGTTTGCCTCGAACCCAGTCCCATGAAGCCCACTGCCATCCAGTCAATGCCAACTACTGCTAGCGGCCCCGCAGGACAGAGTAGAACTGCCCGGCAAGGTTCCCAAGGCTTTAAGTCTTTACCGGAGCCGCCTGCTGCATTATTCTGGTGGGGGTGAACTGCCCACCTTTTTGGTGAGCCACCTAGTGCTTTCACCACTGAGCCTCCAGGCTGGGTTCAACTCCTCGCTCTGCTGCTGGCCAGCTGGGTAGCCTTGGACCAATGATTTAACCTCTCTGTGCCTCTCTCTTATCCTCATCTGGAAGAGGGGGCGACCGTCTTCACCTCCTAGTGCTGGAGAACAGATATACCAAAAGGGGGTGGCTTTCAGAGACAGAAGTTTATTTTTTCACAGTTCAGGGATCTGGCCGCCTGAATTCAGCACGCTTGCTCTAGGGAGGCTATCTCTGTCTGCTCTGTCTCGGTTTCTCTAGCATTCTTCCCTATGGTTCTTGGATTCCAGCTCATAGCGACCCCACAGAGGGTTTTCCAAGGCTGTAAATCTTTTTTTTTTTTAACAGTTTTATTAGCACTTCATCCACACGTCATACAGTTCAGTCATATCAAGGAGAGTTGTGCAAGGATTACCACGTGCAATTCCAGAACATTCTTTTTCCATGTACTCATTGTTATTCATGTAGGTTTTGGTGGTATTTTTTTCTGATTGTGGCAAAAAAAATGAGGCTACACATCTTTTTTTTTTTAATTGAGGCTCGGTACAGTGTACTATATTGATGGTACATGACAAGGTGGGGTTCCCTAAGCCCCTCCCTCCCCTTCCTTCAAGGGGTCTGGATGGAATATTCTCAGTGTGTTGGGGGATTGAGTTGGGGACAAAGACTCCCTAGTAGCTGAGGGCCTCCATTCCTCTGAGGCTGTACATCTTTATAGGAGCGGACAGCCTCATCTTTCTCCCTCGGAGCTGCTGATGGTTTTGAACCGCCAATCTTGTGCTTAGCAGTCCATCCAGTGCTTACACAGCAGTGCCATCTGGGCTCCTGCTGCACAAAGGAAGGGCTCAACAAAACCTCGCTGTTATTATTATTCCTATTAATGTTCCATCTTTATTCTGTACTCTGATCTTCTTCCTTTCCTGTCATGGAGTCTCCTCTGTCAGCCTTGATGCCCCTTCTTGGGTTTCTCAGCCTCTTGCCCCACCCAGCGCTGACCCTGACCTTCCCTCGGCCCCCAGGTTTATGTGTGCCCAGCTTCCCAACCAGGTCCTGGAGAGTATTAGCATCATCGACACACCGGGCATCCTGTCTGGCGCCAAACAGAGAGTGAGCCGAGGTGAGTGAGGCCGGACTCTGGGTCTGGGGTAGGGGTGGGGTTGCGGGGGACAGTCAGGGCTCCTGGATCTGAAGGAGGAGGAGCAGGGTTTCCGGGACTCCCCAGACCTTAGGACCTTAAATAGGAGGGGGCCAGGGCCCAGGACACCTGGGTCTGAGGGAGGAGGCTGTGTGTGTGTGTACACTCCTGGGTCTGAGGGAAGTGGGTGTAGGTGTGTGTACACTCCTGCGTCTGAGGGAAGAGGGTGTGTGTGGGTGTGTATACTCCTGAGTCTGAGGGGGATGGGCCAGACTCCAGGATCTGAGGGAGGAGGCCTCCAAGGCCCAGAGCTCCCAGGCCTGAGGGTGGAGGGACTGGTTTTGGAGACTCCTGGATCTGAGGGCAGAAAGGGCCAGGACCTCAACTTCTGGGTCTGAAGGGGCAGGGATGGGTGGGGTGGGGGCAGACTCTCCACCTAAGGGAGGAGAGGGCTGGGGGCTGGGACTCTGGGTTCTGAGGGAGGAGTCACTGGGACTTGGGGCCCAGCTTCTGCTAGGACTTGGGCCTGTGTCCCCTGGGCCCAGGCCTGCTGGGCAGCAAAAAGGAGCACTGAGAGCTCCCTTTTGGAACAGAGGGGGAGGCCCGTGAGCGTGTCCGGGCCGGTGGAAGGATGGAGACGCAGAGAGACACAGAGATTCAGAGGGCGAAGCTGGGAGGCCACAGGGAGAGAAGAACCCCAGCCAGGCAGGGAGGCTCCCCAGGCGCCACGTCTGGGGCACAGATGGACCGGGAGGGGGGTCTGGGCCGGGGGCCAAGACTGGGCCTGGAATTTATAAACAGCTGCGCAGGGGGAGCGGCAGGAGGTGCATTCCAGCAGGGCCTCCACGGGGAGCCAGCCCCACCCTGCTAGGGTACACCCAGGCCCCCCCACCCCACTCCACTCACCCTCTGGCCCTGAGGCCAGGAACTGGGGCAAAGGAAGCCACAGAGTGGGGCAGAGGGGACCAAGGAGGCAATCATGGGGGCGGGAGCAAGAAGGGTGACATGTCCTTGGCTCCCGCCCAGCAGTTGGAGGCCGGGAGAGAGGGGAGGGGGGTGTCCCACGGGAGAAAAGCAGGAGGCAGCTGGCAAAGTGATTGGGAGGTTGGAAGGGCGACTGGCCAGCCCTCCGAAGGGGTTGAGGGGGGGGTGAAGGGCGGGCCAGCAGCTCCTGGGGTTCCCACCCAAGGGGCGGGGCCTGGGGATGCTGGAGAGGATGGGTTTCCAAGCCAAGGGAGAGGGCAGGGTTTCAAAAAGTTCTGGAAACATGGAATTAAAAGACATTGAAGTTTGCTCACAACCTTTTGAAATGCGTGAGTGCGTGTGTGTGTGTGTGTGTGTGTGTGTGTGTGTGTGTGTGTGTGTTAGCAGTGAATGCACATACACAGGTCTCTCCAAAGACACAAAACAAAACCCACAGCCAGGGACTAGATCCCGACTCGGCGTCCCTGTGGGAGAGAGTAGATCTGGTTCCCAAGGCTCATCTTTTTTTTTTTTTTTACCACTCAATGATATCCATTTTATTTTTTAAGTTTTATGCTATACATATGATTTCCAACCAACTTCAATGAACTTATTTGATTGTGTAATTCTTAACTTAATAAATCTTGAGGGTTTTTTCCTATGATATAAAATGTCCCCCAATATGGCAATTATTATATTTTTTTAAATTTTTTAAA